ACATTTTATTATAGTTATAACAATTATAAAAGTGTAATATAGCATTCAGTGAAAAATACGTCGAACGATTAATATTTGATATAATATAATATTATATCAAATATTAATCGTTCGACGTATTTTTCACTGAATGCTATATTACATTTTTATTATATATGTATATATAATATATATAATATTCGATATAAATTTAATGGAATGAATATTTAACAGAATCGATAGATCGCACAAATCTTCATCCGGAAAATACCGAAGATGTTCAACCATTGGACAGAAGATCACTCCGATCTCGTTCAACAGTGCAATCAAAGACGCAGCGTTGTTACCATTTCTTCGACGGTGGAGAATCGAGCCATGTATCCGGACATCGTCAAGACAGCGGCCACCTCGGCCAGGATCAAAGCCAATCCTGACAATTGCAGGCACCATCCGTAGTGGTACTGCGGCAGACCATTGTCGTCCGTCTGCATGCTGGACGTGGAAGGCAAACTATACTTTCCGGGCAATTCCAGCGAGGCGTCCGATAACGCGGACGCTAGGACTATCAGTCCGCCGCCTAACGAGAGACCTGGAACACAAATGAAATTATTACTTGGCTTACTTCCTAATGTCGCCGATATTTATGGTATTCGAACACGGGATCGATTCGGCCGTGACTTATGGTCGGAATTGGCCGAAGCGTGGCCCGCGATTAGAATTCGCTGTCCAAGTTGCCGAACTCGAAATCATTACTTATGGAGTTCGTAACTGATGAAGATCGCCGATAATTCAGTGGTTAGGATGTTCGGCTGCGAGACTTTAATCAGAGCCCGCTTGCCTGGGAGACGTTCAGGGTGAATTCGACCTTGACGGAGTTAGTTGATCGTCGCGCTGTGTACGCGAGGGTGGTCGCTAGAATATGAGCGAATTGAATAAAGTTTTTAATAGATTGACGGCTCGGTTTCTGTGACGAGTTGGGTTCTTATCAACAGGTTTTCCTTCGTGTCGAAATCGTGTCTTAGGGAATTGAAAGCAGTGAGCATTTCTCAAGATACATTTTTATGGGATTTTAGTAGCATTAATGTGATTATTTAGAGATATTCACTTGCCTGAATATCTCTGATTCTAAACATGTGAAATATTTTAAGCGTTCTTTGTGACACTGATTCTGGCATAAGCGTTAACTATAAGGAATTAGATCAAAATATAATTGCTGAATCATTGTTAAATTTTCTATTAATGTATTTAACTGTCATGTGCAATACTTTGATTAAGTAATGTATAAAAAATTAAGTACTGTATATATAATAATAATTATATTATATAATAATATTAATATAATAATTAATAAGTACGGTATATATAATAATTATTACATAAATAAAATATAATTACATAGACATAATTATTATATAATTAATATATAATTAACATTAATATTCTTCGAAATATATTTCTGCTAATTTAATTTATATAAAACACAACAAACTAGGTATCAGAATACACCAAACACTATATGGGATTTCGTGTCACGTGTCCTGAAAGTGGCAGATCCAGAATTTTTCATATCACGATTATTAAGATTGCAAGCATATATTAATGCAAAATTTATATTCTCCTAAGCCGTCTCTTCGGTTACAATATTACGATAAAAATCGCTGAAAATCTGAATAATTTGAAACAGGTGTTTTCAGCGAACCCAGCGTTGAGATGTAAATCTTGTACGTACGAAACCCTCGGCAGTTTCGAACAGGTACACGTTTCTCTGCGGTGTGAGCGCAGCAACGTTGCAGTGTCCTTCCGCACCGTTAATCAGTTACTTTAATCCCGCAAGCGGAAAGACGTTCGTTCGTTGTGAATACCAACGGATGAACGAGCTACGGAAAACATCTTGTCGCAGCGTGGGTGGCTCGGAGATTACGATAAAAACCGGGTATCCGACGTAAGTCCCTCGGGGGGAGGGGGGAGAGCAAGTTGCATAAACAACGATCTTGGTTTTATTACGGGCTGAACGATAATATATATCTGTACGCCGCATCATCGCGTTCCCATTAAATGCAACAGCTTAAAGCGGTAATGCGAGACGAACGGCCCTATTAGAATTTATTGTTCCATAAAATTTGTCGCGTTCACCGCGATTCAGCTGCATTTCCCCCCTCCACCCCCCCGTGAATTATCAGCTGTATTAGCGGCGAATACGTCCCGGTAATACTTCACAATATTTTCGAGGAAGCACATACTGATGTTTTATTGGTAGACAGGAACAGGATATTGGGTATTGCTAAAATATTGGTGGCGGCATATTGAACTTTCAGACTTGCACCCGTCGATAGGGATGTAGCAGCGTCGTAAAATTTTTAGCTGAGTACAGAAACGTGTTTCATACTTCCGGGCATATACGGAGCTCCGAGAATGGTCATAAATATTATTGCTTCGAATCAGCTGGACCGGCTGAAAATCATTCTTTGGGGTTGGAGCATGGATCGCTCTTCGTTTCGATAAATATCAATGCCTTCGATTAGTATCATCGTAACAGGCTCTGCTGTTAGGACGTCGTCTTTCTTCTTCCAGTGATTCTAAGAACTTGAAAATGTGATTAATAGTCTGCGAATCTTTGTCGCGCGCAGATTTCTCAAATGCGAGAATGCGTAAATTAAATTTTATCATTTAAATCAATAACGTCTAATAGCATTTTTCACGTTGAATGGACTCGCAATGGACGCATAATTCGGATCAGCGTAAGAAATGCTATCAAAATGAATATTTTCAAAATTTTATCTGGGAAATTTGGACGTTTTTTTTATCTGGATTTTTTACTGAATGGCCTCCCTTAAAGTTTCAACATTTAAAATGCAAGTCACAATTATCCGGGAGCAATTCTTCACGGCGTTGCTCTCGGCTTTATATCCTCTAGGGCCATGCCATCCGCGAGTCCTTTCGTTTACACAACCCTTAAATCCCCTTCGCATCCCTTTATGTCTTCTATACCAGCTCTAGACACCATTAGCCATAAGCAGACTGCGGCTGGTATGCGTTCGCAGTAAGTCCTCCAGAATGAAATTCGGCAAAATAAAAATGTAAGGAAGTTAAACTAAGCCTTAATATTTACCTTTTTTCATCTAAAAATAAACTTTGGAGAACGTGAATTTGTAAACTGTAGAAGCTATTATATAACGAAATATACAGGATGTTCCAAAAGTCACTCGCAATCGGGGATGAGGAGATTCTGAGGTCATTTGGAGCAACAATAAACTAACAATGAACCTTGGAGAACGTGAATTTGTAAACTGTAGAAGCTATTATATAACGAAATATACAGGATGTTCCAAAAGTCACTCGCAATCGGGGATGAGGAGATTCTGAGGTCATTTGGAGCAACAATAAACTAACAATGAACCTTGGAGAACGTGAATTTGTAAACTGTAGAAGCTATTATATAACGAAATATACAGGATGTTCCAAAAGTCACTCGCAATCGGGGATGAGGAGATTCTGAGGTCATTTGGAGCAACAATAAACTAACAATGAACCTTGGAGAACGTGAATTTGTAAACTGTAGAAGCTATTATATAACGAAATATACAGGATGTTCCAAAAGTCACTCGCAATCGGGGATGAGGAGATTCTGAGGTCATTTGGAGCAACAATAAACTAACAATGAACCTTGGAGAACGTGAATTTGTAAACTGTAGAAGCTATTATATAACGAAATATACAGGATGTTCCAAAAGTCACTCGCAATCGGGGATGAGGAGATTCTGAGGTCATTTGGAGCAACAATAAACTAACAATGAACCTTGGAGAACGTGAATTTGTAAACTGTAGAAGCTATTATATAACGAAATATACAGGATGTTCCAAAAGTCACTCGCAATCGGGGATGAGGAGATTCTGAGGTCATTTGGAGCAACAATAAACTAACAATGAACCTTGGAGAACGTGAATTTGTAAACTGTAGAAGCTATTATATAACGAAATATACAGGATGTTCCAAAAGTCACTCGCAATCGGGGATGAGGAGATTCTGAGGTCATTTGGAGCAACAATAAACTAACAATGAACCTTGGAGAACGTGAATTTGTAAACTGTAGAAGCTATTATATAACGAAATATACAGGATGTTCCAAAAGTCACTCGCAATCGGGGATGAGGAGATTCTGAGGTCATTTGGAGCAACAATAAACTAACAATGAACCTTGGAGAACGTGAATTTGTAAACTGTAGAAGCTATTATATAACGAAATATACAGGATGTTCCAAAAGTCACTCGCAATCGGGGATGAGGAGATTCTGAGGTCATTTGGAGCAACAATAAACTAACAATGAACCTTGGAGAACGTGAATTTGTAAACTGTAGAAGCTATTATATAACGAAATATACAGGATGTTCCAAAAGTCACTCGCAATCGGGGATGAGGAGATTCTGAGGTCATTTGGAGCAACAATAAACTAACAATGAACCTTGGAGAACGTGAATTTGTAAACTGTAGAAGCTATTATATAACGAAATATACAGGATGTTCCAAAAGTCACTCGCAATCGGGGATGAGGAGATTCTGAGGTCATTTGGAGCAACAATAAACTAACAATGAACCTTGGAGAACGTGAATTTGTAAACTGTAGAAGCTATTATATAACGAAATATACAGGATGTTCCAAAAGTCACTCGCAATCGGGGATGAGGAGATTCTGAGGTCATTTGGAGCAACAATAAACTAACAATGAACCTTGGAGAACGTGAATTTGTAAACTGTAGAAGCTATTATATAACGAAATATACAGGATGTTCCAAAAGTCACTCGCAATCGGGGATGAGGAGATTCTGAGGTCATTTGGAGCAACAATAAACTAACAATGAACCTTGGAGAACGTGAATTTGTAAACTGTAGAAGCTATTATATAACGAAATATACAGGATGTTCCAAAAGTCACTCGCAATCGGGGATGAGGAGATTCTGAGGTCATTTGGAGCAACAATAAACTAACAATGAACCTTGGAGAACGTGAATTTGTAAACTGTAGAAGCTATTATATAACGAAATATACAGGATGTTCCAAAAGTCACTCGCAATCGGGGATGAGGAGATTCTGAGGTCATTTGGAGCAACAATAAACTAACAATGAACCTTGGAGAACGTGAATTTGTAAACTGTAGAAGCTATTATATAACGAAATATACAGGATGTTCCAAAAGTCACTCGCAATCGGGGATGAGGAGATTCTGAGGTCATTTGGAGCAACAATAAACTAACAATGAACCTTGGAGAACGTGAATTTGTAAACTGTAGAAGCTATTATATAACGAAATATACAGGATGTTCCAAAAGTCACTCGCAATCGGGGATGAGGAGATTCTGAGGTCATTTGGAGCAACAATAAACTAACAATGAACCTTGGAGAACGTGAATTTGTAAACTGTAGAAGCTATTATATAACGAAATATACAGGATGTTCCAAAAGTCACTCGCAATCGGGGATGAGGAGATTCTGAGGTCATTTGGAGCAACAATAAACTAACAATGAACCTTGGAGAACGTGAATTTGTAAACTGTAGAAGCTATTATATAACGAAATATACAGGATGTTCCA